ACCTATGATTCGATTCCCTCACCGGATATAACTTCTCAAAGAAACTATATATATACGATTGTACAGCTTGATGATAAATTCGTTGAAAAGAATCTCTTCTCTGAATCCCCACTTGTTTTGATTTTCTATAAGTTACAATGGGAAGTTTCCATGATTTACAATACAGACGATAAATGTATGATAATTAGGACTTTTTGAGTTTGCATAAACTGAATATTCTTTCCTTAATGACTAGCACTCATATTGAACAGTACCAATAAATTGATGAGGATAACTTTGTAAAGTCTGTCCACCTTCTGGAGTGTATTACGTCATTTCCCATAAAAAAAGAGACAACATTATAATCTAGTATTCTTTTTTGTACATTATGAATCAATTTGGGAAGTGTATCTTCATGGCAGATACTTGAATAATATCACAGTTACCTATGAAAGGTGTTACGTTACCGTAGAAAGTCTCAATTAAATGAGAGCACCACAAAATAACATATCAATAATATGTGTTAGCCAAACTGAGTAACTTTTTATCGGACATCCGGCAGTGATCTAGATTTCAGACTGTTAACTTCACCTTTAGATATAAAGGTGATCTACAAGAACTGGTCCGTTCACATGATGCTCTTAGCGTGGCATAGAAGGGAGGAGGAACTATGTCAAGCATAAAATACCTTGGAATAGTTCTATCCTTTGACCTTTCTTATTCATCCTAAATCTTGTTGATTTTTAAGAAAATGTTCCGTCTAATCTTCTCCATTATGAAGTTAAAATAAGCTGGAAGGTATGAGTCAATCTTGACTTTCACAATTTGTTAACTCCTGCATCTATTTCTATATCAATATTGATGATACTGATATAGAAATCAAGTCTGAAGTTAAGTATCTTGGACTTATTCTCTCTTCTGATCTCTCCTGGTCTTCCCATGTCTCAGCGATTTCTCAAAGAATATTTCGTCCGACTATTTACATCAAGAAGTTGAGGTACTCAGGCATAAACCAACTCCTCCTCTTATAGTTTGTCAACTCGCGTATTTTACCTATTTTTCCTTACTGTTCACCCTTATTCTTTCCTGGATTGCTTAAAAAAGACTATGTAGAACTCTGAAGACTAGCTATCAATAGGACGAGTGGTATCCAATTGGGCCATATCGTTGACATTGTCACTGAAAGGCACTTGATGTCATGCAACAAATTTGCTAAAGGAATTTTGTCAGACCCTGAGCACCCACTCTACCCGCAGCTCCAACCTTGTGTCTCCTCAGGTAAAACAAGAAGTCTTTTTAGAAGACTTTATACACGTACGTATAAGTATAAAAATTCCACTATACCATGTTTCGCACGTACTCTCTGCGATGAAAATGGTGTCAGGCATGAACTAACTAACCTTCTTTGCACTACTAAATAAACCATTTCTTCCACCCTTACACTGCCAAACTTAATTCTTATTGTATTTCTTATATTTATAATCCTCTGAATTTTTCTGTTTTTATTTATTTAATTTTTCATAATTGTGAACATCGTTTAAGCTGTGTTACCACTGTTAATCCCCTCACCATGCTGCTATATCAACAGAACATTAGATTTAATACTCTCTAATAACATGCTAAAATTTCCAAACTGAATCGACAATACTGTTTGAAACAAACTCACTCTTATTATTATTACTGTTATAATATTTAATGATCTCAATTCGTGCTTCGAAATTTTTTTGATTTATATCATAAACGTGGACAAATTCCTCCGGTTAGTTTTGTTTTAATTTTTGATTTATTTATATTTTCAGTAAATCAGATGCAAAATTGTGACAAATGCTGAAAATTCCATTCTGTATTATAAGTACTGTTTTTAGAATAAAGTAAATTATTATTATTATCTTATTGATTGTTCTTTATCGCTCCCCACTCCATGTCTTCCCCGGGCTACTCAAAAAGGATTATGTCATATAGCGAAGGTCACTAAAGATTGTTAGTAGGGTAAGTGGTGAACCACTTAATCACGCTTTTTACTACAATAGTTGACAGAAACCTAAGCTCATGTGAGAAATGGTCACAATGCATATTGTCTGGCCCTCGACAATCCCTCTCCTCTCAACTCTCCCCCTCCCTATTGTATCTCATCAGATAGGACTAGAAGTAATTAAAAAATTTTATATGCTCACGCAACCAAGTATAAAAAGTCCACGATACCCTATTTGCCACTCCCCCCCCCATGCATCCTGTGAGATGGCGATGATGTTAAGCGTGAAACCTACGACTATGTTATTAGCGAACTAATTGGCTCTTTTATCCTCCCCTCCTATTTGTAATTTATGCTGACACTATTTCAGTTAACTTATAATTTTAGCTGTTAACAATATTATCAGTAAATTACACCTTTTGTACATTTTAGACTTTATTGTGACTGCAAATACCAAAGGGCAGCCATTTCCAATCCTATAATATTGTTTTTATTTTTGCTGTTTTCGAGTAAATTAGATGTAATATGGTGGCAAATGCTGTTGATAAGAGTCTTCAGCCAGTTGTTGGGTGCTTTTCGTTACGCGTGTGCCAAGTTTATGACCCATATAGAAGAACTAGCTGACTTAACATTACTGTTGAGAATCAGACTCTTTTTATTTACGCTGGCTGAGTTCAGAGGATTTCCAAACCGAATTTCAGATCTCGATAAAGAAAGGAAGACGAAATTTGTAGTATAAAATGATACCATTACCGGAAACAGAGATGAAGCGACTTCTACTGCTCTGCACAAAAGATATACAATTCAAATTCAACAATCAACTTTACCGACAAACCGATGGGGTCGCGATGGGTTCGCCTCTGGGACCTATCCTGGCTGATATCTTCATGGGCTACCTTGAGCAAACACAACTAAGTTCTGCTATCAATGGAACTACCTACTATCGCCGATATGTTGATGACACATTTGTTGTTTGCAACGATATGGATCACGCATCGGCACTATATGATCGCCTAAATGAGATACATCCAAATATCAAATTCACCATGGAATATGAACATAATAATGAGTTCAATTTCCTGGATCTAAATGTAAAAAGAACAAACGAAGGCACGGTCGAAAAGTCCATCTATAGAAAAGAAACCTGGACTGGACAATATCTTCACTATAACAGCTTTTGTCCCATAAGCTATAAACGTGGATTAGTGAGGACTTTGTATGACAGAGCCAGGAAGCTATGTTCACCAAACAGGGTCGAAGAAGAATTAGTTTTCGTCGAGAAATGCCTAAGGGAAAATGGATACCCTAAGGGATTTATTCAGAAGTACAGCAGAGAAAAAGATGAGAAAGAAAAGCATCCAACTGTAGAAAAGAAAAAAGTGTTTATCTGTCTACCATACAAAGGAGATGCAGTGTCACAAAAGATTGACAAAAGACTGAAAGGTGCAATAAATAGAAGCTTCCCAGCAGCAAAACTCATAACAGTATACAGCACCACTCCTTCTTTAATCCACTCAAAACTGGATAAATACCCTGCTGATGTCACCTCCAACTGCGTTTATGAATTCACGTGCACTTGCGGGAGCAAGTACATTGGAAGGACAGAAAGAAGGGCTTCTATCCGGTTTTCTGAACATATTCCCAAAAACCTGTGCCTGAAAGGAAGCAGATATTCCCAGAGTGCAATTACCAGACACATTATTGATACCGGACATCTCGTAGAGATTTCTAAGTCCTTCAAAATATTAAATAGACAAAGGACAGCAAATTTACTACGATTTGCCGAAGCAATCGCAATCAAAAGACTTAAACCAGACTTATGCATACAGAAAGAGAGTGTGATTAACCTCTCACTCCCTTGGTAACAGAATTTTGATTTTGATTAGTCATCTAATTCAGTGATCTCAACTCACTGAACAAATCTTAATCTCATAAACTGTAACCGTTTTTTTTGTTTCTTGAGTTGCTATGTGAACCTACAAGCTAACACTGTTCTGTTAATCAATTTTTCTGTTTTCTCTCTTACCCCTCCCCCTCTTTTCAACTTTAAAAGCGTATAAATTGATGATGAAAACTTAAACTAAAAACATTGTAATGCTTTCATTTAGATGCGTCAATTTTATAGTATCTCTTTTCTACCACCACTCGAACATTAAAGTATGTTATTATCATCTATATAACCATTGTAATTTCAGGTAGTCTGCAGCTGATGAGAACCTGTGAAATAGAATGATATCATTTTATACTGCAAATTTCGTCTTCCTTTCTTTATCGAAATTTATCAAGGGAACCAAATGTATGAATTTCAGATCCATTCCACCTGCTCTTACAGATTCCGAGCACTTCCATAGCGTATTTTCCCATTTATTTGGAAACCTGGGACGCCTTTCCAGTCGTGTAAATTGTATGAAAATTCCACCTCCCCATTCTTATTCTTGTTTTTATCGAAAGAATAAGACATCGGCTAGCTGGTTTCCCGAAGACTTTCCCCAGCCGACTGTGTCATTTCCCCTTTCCGATTCCAGTGAAGAAAAATTATATTTTTTGTTCTTAATATTTTTCTAGTTCGTTGAAGCTCCTCTAGCATTTTGATTGGTTTTGTGGAGTAGGGTCGCTAGCACTATGCCAAACTCTTCCTCTCTTCCCGGCTTTAATACTGGCTAGAAAACTAGCCAACTAGTAAACTGGGCGAAGTCAACTAATTTGCAAATTATGACTTAAACCTATTAGACTTTTTATTGCTTCGAAAAAGCTAGTTGTCTTTCAATCGAAAGTCTTAGCAGTTATTCATCCTCTGTACTGAGTATTGTACTGTTGAGGATTACACCTATACATGAAGTGGCACACGTGTGAAATACAAACGTTAAATATTTTTATTGGAATACTTTAACTACTTATATGCGTCTGAAAGTAGACTAATTGTGTTTACAATCAATTTTCTATGTCATCAGTTGTGAACATTGAAGAGGGGGTCCGTACAGTTGAAATAACCCTATCATTCAGCGAACAAAGACAATGAATGACTCAACATTAATGAAAACAAGATACACTGCTTTCGTTAAACTTTATAAAAATGATCGATCATGTATGATCAACTTTTTCAACACTTTCATACATTATATCGCAGTTGATTTACGAATAATAAAAAGAGCAAGGGAGAAAGAGACAAAGGAAGAGAAAGAGTGATATGCAACTTTCTGTTAGTAATTGAAGGTGTTAAAATAAAAATTAAACTTGAAGGGAATTACAAAATGACGTATCAGACCACAGCACAAAAATCCTCCTCAACCTCTTACAATCATTATTCAATTACTAGAAATAATGATACTGGTATAGAAAAAAAGTAGATTCGAGGAAGCTCTTGAAGAGATTATCACATATAAACAACTCATACATATACACATACACACCTCAATAAAAATAAAAGTAGACAAGAGAAAACCCCCAAAAATATTAAACAGTTTCTTCGTTAAAACAAAACGAACAGGTAACTTCGAAGTGTTTGTCATTATAAGGCCGGCGGTACAAACAAGTACGCATCAAAAGACGCGCGTGCGCGTACACACACAAACTCAAAAAACGAAGAATATTTAATTGGAGTTAAAAAAACAAACAAACAAAACGACAAGGCCAGACACCAATACAAAAAGAAAGAACAAAATGCAAAACTTTCGAAAGAAAATTAGGACCCCAAAAACATTGTACATTATAACTTATGATCAATTCAATACATATATATATTCATTAAAACAAGTGTAATTGTTTTGTTTACAGTTACTATGGTAGCCAGAAAAGAGCTCACAGCACTTGAACGAAAATACGAAAGAAGATGTGCTTGTTTTTTTCACTCCAATACCAAATGTATGTGAGAATGTGTATATAATTGTTGGTTACTACTTCAAGAGGATGTACGTTTTCGAGTAAAGTGACAATGTACCTCCTCTTCATGGAAGTGTCAGAGTGTTGTCAGGATGCAGTGTGCATATGGATGTTTCACAAAGACAGATTCTTTTAGAAGTTCACTTTTAAAAGAATTCTGAAAAACAACAAGAAGAAAAAATTCATGGATATGATCAATAAATTAAAATAATTTAGGAAACCAAAAAGAGGAACAAAACAACCATTTCGTCCTGTTGTGTGTCAGTGCACACCTACGACCCAACAAAGGATCTAACCTTGGGCGTTTAAGTTACGAGATAAAGCTCGTTGACGATTCCGCCACTTGGAACGGAGTTCAATGACCTGCGAATTCTAACTGTGTCAATTCTTGACAGAGCACTAATCTCATCAGTGCCTTCTATGAGTATCCACTTCACCTTGACACATGGCGGATCCCATGGGTTACAACTCCTGAATACAACTTCAGGGCATCCACCCAGTAGCTATAAATCTGCTGGCGATTGAAATTCACTTCTGAAGAGTCCTCAAATAGGACTAAATAGCTGTCCGGTGAGTGATTTCTGGTGGTTTTCAGTTATCTTTAACTTACGCTGGTTCATGAAAAAACCTAATATGACATGTTTAATAAGCATTTTAAAGGTAACTACTTGTAAATATTAAGTAGTATATTAACAGTCGGATAAATTTGCCCCTTCGTTCATGACATATAACGCCTAGAATGGCAAATCATACTCCCAAAGACACGCGATTGACACTTTTACAGTGGTAAAAACAGAACAAAACTTGAGTTTATTTACAAATATAAATTCAATACTAGAGGGAATAAAACTCACATTTGAGTCAGAAAATAAATAAATACCAACTGGAAAAGGTAAACTATGCACTGGCGTTTATAAAAAATCATAGAATTCGAATAGACAGACCCTACATCTAGGATTCTTAATAAAGTAGGGATTAGGGTGTCATTTAAACCCACACACTCATTCTCGTAAGTCCAGCTGTGTAGTTTAGACGATCCTATTGACCCAGTTTGACAGATTAATATAATTCACAAAATACACCATAATATTGACTTTGAAACCAGTAGATCAGGAGTTTTCACGCTATCACAACATAAAACTTTAGCTAAGAATAGAATCAGTGATCCCGCGAAGATCAGTAAATAAAAAAAAGGCCCCAGGATTTGCAGTGTATGCATTAACACAAAATCACAAAAAAGAGTGGGACAGAATAACAATTCGAGAAAGTAATATAGGTAGGTGGAAAAAGAGGTTGATTACCGAATCTTTGAACTGAATTTTTGATTTTCCTGTCGATTGATCAAAATTTCAAAATCAAAAATTCAATTCAATAATTAATATGACCCGTTGCACAAGAGGTGGCTCTCGTGGCCCAAGTCGTCTAGTGGATAACGCTTTGGCGTTTGAAACTATGAGTACTGGGTTCGAGCCTCGGTGGGAACATCATCACTCATTGAGAAATGCAGGTACATCCAGCTGACGAGTCCCGAATAGGACGAAATGCACATCCTGGCTGGATTCCACTGCTAGCCACCATCCACCAATTATACTGAATCTTTGTTCATCAAGGTTACATCTAAAATACGCTAAAGGAATTACTCAAAACACCGATACCAGAGTAATGAAAAATATGACTAGCTATACAGTCAGAGGAAAGGAAATAGCTAGAATTGTATAAACGAATCTGGAAAGTTATATGAGTGCCTATATAAATAAATTGTGCTCGAAACGTTGTTATCAGTGAATAACACTGTATAACTGTGCATACTTCTATTCAATAAATTTACCCTAGGATGGAATTATACTCTACCACTACAGTGGTTAAGTTCTATTCTTGTTTCTATGAAGCTAATTTTGAAGTTTGCTGGTATACCCTAAATGCTATTCTTTGTAGTTGCAAGAAATATGCCACACTCTATCTGTCTGTCTGTTTTCGACAAAGAACGTTACACATATGTGCGGAAGTTCAAGTCGCCACACTCCTTCCATGTAGCACACAAAGCAAGAGAAAAAAGTACAAGAAATGCATATTAGAGACAGTAAGCAGAGGTGTGAGACAAAGGAATAGTAGTAACGAAGAACAAAACAGTTTCATTGGAAATCATGAGTCACAAGGAGTGGATGCATCTGCACCAGCCATTGAAAGCGATTTTGAGCCATGTCACCAATTGTTTCCAGCTGCCATTGGTTTTTACCATCCCGAGGACCCCAACCAGCCAAGAAGTCTACACCTTCCTACGTGGCTTAGACTAACCGTTGTAGATTTCATTGACTGGTGCCATGTTTTGGTTTGACCGCCACTAGATCTTTTCTAGCCTGACCCTATGTCAGTTATCATTGCCCGTCGAGGAAGGCGGTGACTACGCATACGTGACACATGTCTATGTAGCTTCACAGCCTCGTCGATTGATTTCCCCTCCCACCTACCTAGCACTCGACCGACGCCTAACCTCAATAGTGCTCATCTTATTATACCACTTCACACGGGAGATAGAACGTAGGCACTTATGATCAAAGACAGATAGCTAGCCTTTTCACGTCTTCCACTCTCAATGGCCAGGTCTCACAGCTGGCCATAAAGGAGGACGGAGCGGACTGATGAGGAGTACACCCGCCCTTTGGTCGATAGCCAGTCGGATATCTCGTCTACGCCAGAGACGACGTAAACTGGCATATGCGAGACTAGCCCTCTGTATCCGTACTCAGCTGAGATTTCGTCAGAGATCAACCCGTTGGCACTGGCTCATGGTACTTCTCAATAAGTGAAGCGGACAACGTGCTCTACCACTCCACTTCCTATATCTAATCTAGGAGTCGGTGTAGTCCAGTCCTGTAACATCATCTTACATTTGAAAGCAGGAGCGAATCGCATTCCAAACATTCATAGATTGCAGCTCAAGGTGTTTAGAAGACTCTTCATTTTGTCAGCGTCCTCTCCTAGAAGGACTATATCGTCTGCGAATTCCAAGCCAACGAGATTATTCCTTGCTGGTAGCAAGTCAATCCCTGAGTCGCTGAAGTGAGTTAGGGTTAAGTCCATTAGTATATCTATGATGAAATTGAATAGAAATGGGGATAATGGACACCACTAATCGTCACTAGTATGCCACAGTGAGTTTGATGAAACCCTGAATATTAGTTATATTTATCAAAATATGTAAATTTTAATGAACCGGCGATCCAAATATAGTATAGACGATTCGCACTTTTGTATTCATGTGAAATGATAAGAGAGAAAATTCACCTACACAAACTCCGGTTCGATTTTTACATAATCAAAAGAGCTAATTATCGTTTCCTTCTCGGCTTGTCATCTCAACTGTAAGACAGAGTCATTATAACAACAATAAAATCTGTTTCAATTATTGGTTTTGTAGGGATTTTGTTTGATCGTATGGAGGATTTAATCATGAGCTGACATCAGTTAGAGAACCACTGGAAAACCTGGGAATACTGGACAGCTGATTCGTCCTGGTTTGGGACTCTTCAGCAGCATGCACCCACCGGTATTCCAACTCAGGACCTTCTGGTTACAAGGCGAGCCCGTATACCATTAAGCCACTGGGACCCGATCTAATGGTCCTTGAATTCTAACTTCTGCCAATTCACGACATAGCGCGACCACTTCGCAATGTCTTCTTCGATGAGTTACTGCCTCATGAAGAATTCAAGGACTATTGAATCGGGTCCAGTGGCAATATCATGAATACATTAACTGTTTCACTTGAAAACCAATGAGATGATCACTGGCGACTGGCCCTTTTCATTTAGGTAGTTACCTGGGTTCCAGTGGGAAGTCGTGACCAGTAAGGTGCAGCTGGTCGGGTGTGAGAACAAATACTCGCCGAAGACATTGGCTAGCGGTCGCGCTATGTCGTGAATTGGCAGAAGTTAGAATTCAAGGACCATTGAATCGGGTCCCAGTGGCTCAATGGTCTACGAGCTTGCCTTGTAACCAGAAGGTCCTGAGTTCGAATACCGGTGGGTGCATGCTGCTGAAGAGTCCCAAACTAGGACGAATCAGCTGTCCAGTACTCCCAGGTTTTCCAGTGGTTATCTTACTGATGTCAGCTCATGATTAAATCCTCCATGCAATAAAATCTATCCAACGACTCTAATAAGCGATTCAATCGACAATAGGAATCAGAGTGTAGGTAAAATGGATACAGGTTGGATTGAATCCCAAGTAGACTTACTCAACCAGCCTGAATAGCCGTACTGAATCAAAACATCAAGTTATGTCGTTTATCCGACTATGCATTATTAAAATAGGCACTATTAATGATAAAATCAGGTCTTTTCTAACTTAGGAATGTTAATAAGCTAAGAGCGGACCACTTCATATTAGATAGGTATTTAATGATCACGAGATGACACTCTGAACATGTCACCTTGTTTATAGCATATTATAATGACCGGAAATTTCAGTCACATGATAAAATGATCTTATGTTTTTCTTAATCAACATGACTATTACCCTAAATTCCAGGTTTAATAAATTAATGTGTAAAATAATATAACAATAATCATAATAATAGCTTTATTTTGAACAGGGTTAATATAATGTGCAGGATTTTCAGCGGTGTTTATTACATCAAACTTTCTCCTCGTCCAGGACCTTCAAATATAACACTGACTGACAGTAGACCGTGTGACACAGTTCTATCTGACCCGAAGTGTAAACCAATCCGTTGTGATATCTATTCTTTGTCTCCCTTCTTCGACAAGTACACGACGATATTTCGTTGAATGTCATTTATAAACAGTTCAAGAATATATTTTGTGAACCAAGGACATAACTCAGGAACAGGGTAAAGTTAAACTTTAAGCACCAATAACTACCAATCAGCGAATGATTTTGAATGCACCAATCACGTGAAGGAGGGATTTTTGTATATGGAATATTTATATTTATGAAAAAATGCACAAAAACTGTAGAAAAGTTTTACAGGGGCTACCTTGCTCTCACACGTGATAAAATAGCTCTCACTTTTAGGCTGGTGTATCAACAGAGTATAATTCCATTGTGGGTAAAATTTATTTTGATAAATTCTCATAGTGTAATAGAGTAATATTTCCTGAGGAATAAAGTGTGCTCAAGACGTCATCAGTAAAT